AATTCTAATTTTGTTGTGTATGTAGGTGTTGTGGGGAAGTTGCAGAATCTCTGGTGATGCCTGCTACAGTTGCATGCCCTACAGTCAGTACCAGAATTCCTCCATACTTCACTTGGATGTTTTTGATGTGTGTGATACATATTTTACTTTTCTATCCTTCACTAGGAAATTACTATAAAAGAAAATCCCAAAATGTCATTGTCAGAAATTGAAACAAAGAAACTTCTAGAACTAGTAGGTACTGTGAACCGAAGACTAAATGATACCCGCCATGAGTGTGATAAACACAAAGTATGTGATCTGTTTCACTTGACATATTGAAACTAGCATAAGAGATGATAATGAAGGAATTTCTTTCTGTTTTGTTTACCAGAGTGCCCTGCGCCATGAGAGACAAAGACTGGCAAGACTAGAAGCAAAATTAGCCCGCCTTGAAATGGATAAAATGGGTCCCTTTTCTACAATGAAACGCCAGTTTGGCAATGGTGCGAAAAAGTCAGCTGCTTTAATTTCATTGGAGAGCAGCACATTGTCCAAAGAGGAATTAGAAGACAAGTAAGTGTTAAGCACACACAATAGGCCTCTTGTTTGTTGCACCTCTGTAGAGCCCTAACATTTCTGATGTATTGTTTCAGACTAGAGCTGCTTCAGGAGGAAGTGTTAACTCTGAAAACCCGCCTATCTTGTTTGGAGCAAGAAAAAGAAGATGACTTGCGTGCATTCTCCTCTCTTCTCTATGGCTCTTCCCAGCAGCGGACTTCTCTGGTGATGAATCCAGGTGCCCCTTGTCTACCTCCCATCGAACCTGGTAGGTCATCCCACTGATTCTCCTGCACGTACCAGTTGGTGGTGGAAGTGGTGGCGGAAGTATTACAAAAATAAAACAGTTTGGTTACTTCATGAAGCAAACTCAAGGATACTCAGCATAAGGGGTTTCTATCGGCATTCCCTGCCCCACCTGCCCGCTGTTTAGAGGAGGCAGAAGCTCTGCGGGCCGAGTGGGGCCGAGCCCTTCGCGCTGAAACGAAAATCCCCCCTCTCATTCGTTCACATTCGCTCACCAACTTTCGCTCTCTTTCTCACACACACAAACCTTAAAAATCTGGAGGCTCAACTCGCGAATGAACAGGACAGCCTGCCTGCCTCCACGGATGTGGAAGAACATCTTCGTAGCTGGGCTAGTTGTGGTGGTGGTGTAAGGAGGGGGGAGGCCCGCCTCACCGTTGGAGACGCTATGTATGAGGGCGTTGTAATTTTAAATGCCTGTCCTCTCTCTCCCTCCGTGACGTCGTCACGCCGCGCAGCGCAGCGCCACCTGAGAAATTCAGAATATGTGAATAAAGGTGCCTCGCTCTCTCTCCACCAGACGCTCAGCGCGCGCTTGCTCAGGTGCGGGGGTGGGAGGGGTGGCGTGGCGTAGCGCGGCGTGGCGCCTGCCTCGCGTGGGGCGCGCGTGTGTAGTTTACACAAGGAAAATAATATCTAAGGCTTCGTCGCCGTCCTCCGCGCGAGACGAGTTACGTCTCCCTCAATCTGATGCCAGCGCCGCCGGCGGGGCGGGGCGAGGATACACTCGGCTGGTTTTCCACGCTCCATCTTTCCCCTTTATTTGCTCAGCGAGCGTGGATCTCGCTGGCTGGAAGCCCGCCCCTTCCCCACACACCCGCTATCCTGCTCTCGCCCAGCGCCCTCGCGACCCCTTTCCCTCACGCCCGCCCGACCACAGCGACCGCGGCGCCGAACGCCCTCTACCTCCGTGCTCCCTGCTGGTCCTGCTGGCTGCCCCCTCCTGCTCTGCCCGGGCTGCCCCGGCTCTCCGTACCGGTCAGGATCCACTCCAATCCGTTGAGCTCGAGGTCCTGAGCGACGTGAGC